GCCTCTTCTGAATCCAGCTTGAACCTCATGAAGTTCTCTGTCAATGTATGATTGTAGCCATTTCTATATTACCTTTAGTAAAACTTTACTCACATGGGATATCAAAGAGCTTGGTGACACTAGTTTGATGATTTAACTCTGAGTGTGTGTGTGTTTTTGTATATACAAGGTTCTCCTTGTCCAGACTATATTATCTGTCATGATGACTGAGTAGAACTCTAGTTTTCTAGGAAGATACTCAAAGGCATTTTGCTTACCTTTTACAGAATAGTTTTGCTTTCTTGTGGATAGAATTATTCTGGGAGAAAAAGACATTGATAGGTAAACAATTTCTGGAAGTTAACATCACTGTCAAATGATATCTAATGAGCTATTAGTTAACTTATAGTTGTTGTTGTTAAGTGCCTTCGAGTCGTTTCCAACCCAAAGCAACCCTATATAGGGTTTCTGAGGAGCAGATAGTGAGCTTGAATCACCAACCTTGCAGTTTAAATGGCTTTGCAGTCTGGCTTATTAACCCACAGCACCATCCAGGACTCCCCATAGTTAGATAACACATTTTTATTGTTAAGTGCTGTCAAGTTGGTTCTGACTCATATTGACCCCCTATAGGGTTACCAAGGAGCAGCTGATTAATTCAAACCACTGATCTTGAGGTTCAAACTGACCTTGCGGTTCAGTGCTTATTGTACAGTGCCACACCAGGACTCCTTAGTATGCATAAACACATGCAATTTTCAGTCAAATGTTTTTAATGCGCATTTATGATAATGATTACCTGTTTAGATACTGGTAAGGATATGCTAGCTATGGTATACCGTGATTAAGTCTGATGCCCATGGCTATGTAACTAATGAGTGACAAGTCAAGGTCTGGAACCCAGGTCCTTTGACTTCATGTGTTGGACTCTCTCGGTTACAGTCTTCCACATTCTTGTCAGCTAGTGACCCCGAGAGAAGTTTACATGCTAGGAAAGTTATACAAATATATTCTAAGAAAGAGTTATTAAAAAGGGATGAGGATGTATCCTGGATTTCTGAGACATCTATTTCAAAATGTTTTTCAATTATTTTATTTTCTTCTTAACTTCCTTGTGAGATAACAAGGAATAGGACTTATGATACTATTTTGCAACTGTGAAAATGAGGTCTTCAGAAAAGAATTCGAATGAAAATTTTTGTATTAAAAAATTTGGTTCTATAGCGTGAACAAGATTAGGTGGCATGTCAGCTGATCAGTTATTTATATAGCCACTTTATGTAAGATTTCTAAAACATCACTGGGCCATTTTGAATTATAATGAGATGAATAAATTTCTATTATTTTTCTCTGATACGTGGTTGGAAAGAATACTTTCATTGGTTAGCCAGTGATGTTAGATACATCAGGGAACATGTCAGACTTCCTTCTAGAGAAACAGGGTCCAGTTTATTTCAAAGCTTATTTTGTTGACCTAAATATGCAAGTTTGGGACCATCATGACTTGATTAGAACTATGGGAAACTTTGCTTACCACGGGTCTGCTCTAATATATCTCAAAACATCTGAATTAGCCCAGGACAATGATCACTTGTTCATATTTCTTTTAAGAAAGAGATGGCTACTCTTTTTTAGAGTTATTAATGTCATTTATTTTGACCACACAAAATTTCTGGAGTCAACTTTGGCTACAAAGCCAATACAATCACAAAATTACAGTCCAACAAATGTTTATTGGTTAGCCCTGTATGTTCACTACTATATGAAACCTAGGCAAGCCAAGGCTTCTGGTGCTTAACCTCCAATTGTTCTATTTCCTTCCGGCCTTTGCATGTGTTGGCAACACCTCAGTATTGAATATGACTACACATAGAATCTGTATCATAATGAACCAGTGCCTTGTGATGTTTTGTACCCATGGTTCACACTGATTAATAGTGATAGATGCCCAGGGCTCTGGTTGTGAAAGATGTGGGACGATGTCTGTGATCATCAAGAAAGGGTGCTTTGATTATGGGAAATAGGAGGATTGTATGTTTTGTATTTGGTTTCCTTACTACAGAACGTACCCCCAGTTAATATTCCTTCTTACTTACAGCCTGAATTCTCTTACGTCTTAAGCTGGTGGTAGTTATGTGCCATGGAGTCTGTTCTAATTCATAGTGACCCTGCATAGGGTTTCCAAGGCTATGAATCTTTATGGGAGCAGAAAGCCTCATCTTTCTCCCATGGGACCACTGGTAATTTTGAACTCCTGACCTTGAGATTAGCAGCCCAATTTGTAACCACTACGCTACCAGAGCTCCTTAGGTCTCAAGCTAATTTCTTTGAAAACAAGTTATTTACATGGCTTTAAGAGAGGGAAGTGAATTGTTCCTGAGCATCTCTTTTGTTGTTGTTGTAATTGTTTAGAGTTGAATGGCTTTGGAATTATAGCTGGTACTGTTCTTAGAAAATGCATGCAAGACGAATGAGTATCTATCTGTTTGGCAGGTCATAGCTTTTTGGAACCAATCTTGAAATGACACCAAGAGATTGAATACTGAAATACTTGCCTCATTATTTGAAGTGTTGCACTCTTTTCTTGCAGAATTCATGCTCATGACTTTTGATCTAGGAGGAGAAGTACCAGGAGAGGGCTGAATAAAATACACTCAAATATCACAATCTATATCATGGTGATTTAAAAACAACTTTATCTTATAAAACCAAAGCCACTGGCTCCATGTAGATGTTTACATTAAATTAATTAAAATTAAAAGCTCAGTTACTCAGTCACACTCAAAAGCAAACCAGTTGCTGTCAGTTTGTTTCTGATTCATGGTGGGTGACACCATGTATTTCAGAGTAGAGCTGTGCTCCATACTGTTTTCATGGCGGTCACCTTTGTCACCAATTGTCACAGACTTCTTTAGAAGTACCTCTGGTGGGTTTGAACTGCCCATGTTTTAGTCCATAGCCAAGCAATTAATTGTGCTACCCAAGGACTTCATGTCAGCCACATTAACCATAGATACTTGTTTTTTTAAGATATTTATTGGCCACAAGATTTTAATCTATTTGAGAGCAATACACTTCTCAGAGGAACTGACAAAATTGTAGATTGTTGTTGTTGTTGTTAAGTGCCATTGAGTTGGTTCCAACTCATAGCGACCCTGTATAGGGGTTCTGAGGAATAGCTGGTGAGCTTGAACCACCGACCTTGTGGTTCAAGTTGACTTTGCAGTCCAGCGCATTAACCCACAGTGCCATACCAGGACTTCAATAGTAGATAAGGGTATCAAATGTTTTACCCACACTTGGCAGAAATCACTACAGATGACTACGACAGAAGTCTCAACACAGCACCCCAGGTGAAACTAACCATCGTCCTTTTCAAATATGCCACATTCCATCTGAACCTGACCCAGTTTTGCTTAACAATAATTTGTTAATTATTGAATAATTAACCAATTATCTACAATGGTCCATGCCCATACCAACCATATTTTAATAATTATATGTAGATAATGGCTACCATATTGTACAGCAGAGAAAGTTCTAGTGGAAAACCCTACTCTAGAATCTTAGTTTAATGTTCACACCAGATTCTAATGCTGGGCAAGGATCTTGGAAAACCTGAAGTTGTACTTAAGGAATGAAGACCTCCATGTCGAGACCCCTGTTCCTCAGGGCACAATGTGCTTTCATGTGTACTTGATCTACTTTAAGGCTAAATGCAGTTTGGGTTTCTTGCTCTTGATCCAAAGATTTACAATATTTAATCAACAGAAATTACTTTTTGTCTGAGTTTTAGAAACAGGGTCAAGAAATGTAAATGAAAATTTGGGTGTTGGTTTCTCATTATTTAGACTCATTTGAGAAACTCAGGGAATATTTTTCTTTGGGCCTTTCCTTATGATTTATAGTTCATAGTTCGAAATAATACACAATTCTGTATCTGGAGATTACGTTCATGCCTATTTCGTTTGTTTGGGTTTTGGTGTATTTAGGGGAATGAGGATGGCATTACTAGTTTTAAGGCCTTTACTGTGAAACATAAAGACTATCCACCTTGTGAAAGTGATTGACCAACAACTCTTTTTAAAGCATATGTATCTGTTATTCATAGAAACCCAGTCAACTGATAATGTGATACAATGATGAGGAAGTTCTATTGCTGGTGTATTTTAAGGATGGGAGAAAGACGGGAATGATAAACTTGGTCTGGTGTTGCTGGGGTTGGCCAGATCACTCACAGAGGGAACAAGACATGTGGCATTGGGACTCATTCAATTTCAGGTAGGAACTGGTCAGAGAAATGTTTTCTCTGACAGACTGAGATGGAGTTACCACTAAAACCATGATGTTCCTTGGATTGCCAAAGCTCACACTTCTCTCTCAAGGAACCGAGTCTCTAGTTCTTCTTCTATATTCTTCAAAGTTTCCTGGTACTTCTTCAAAGAGAAACAAGGAAAGCATAGTAACTAACCAGTTTTATGTTCTTTTCTAAACATAATTAGCACTTATCATTACATTCTGATATCAATATCCAGTATTCTCATTGCCACGGTCTCTCCTTTTACCATTCCTCATCTACCAACACTATTAGTCTTTCACTAAGCTTTACCACTGGGTAGGTTCCTGGGGGGTCATTTGGATTTCAAATAGGAAAAGAACCAGTTGCTCATTATTAATTTAAGTGCACAGAAATTGGGAGTCAAGAATAGTAATTATTCAAGTTTCAAAGAACAAGAAGGTCATAATGAGGGATTGGGTGTTGTTATGGATTGAATTTTGTTTCCCCATACAGAATTGGGTGAAGCTCTAATTTCTGATACCTGTGAAGGTGAGATTGTTTGGAAGTAGGATCTTTGAGGGTATTATCAGTTAAGTTAACATGTAGTCAAAGTGGAGTAGGCTATATTCTGATCCTATGTGACTGGTATCCTTATAAAAGAGAAGATACACACAAACAGGATAGACAGAGGAATGATGCCATGTGACCCTGCATCAGCAAGCCAAGAAATGCCTGAAATACCAGAAGCCAGAGAAACACAGGAAACAGTTGCTCTCTTAGAGCCCTCAGAAGAAATTAATATTGCTGATGCCCTGATCTTGTACTCCCAACCTCTAGAACTATGAGACAATGTATTTCTGTTCTTATAAGCTACCCAGTCTGTGACACTGTAAAACTTGTGACAGCTGGAACCCCTATAAGGTGGAAACCTGTAGAGACTCCCTTCATAGTGGTGCCCCTTTGAGAATTAAACTTACACAAGGTAGTATTCTTTGAAAAACCTGCTTCCATGTCATTTTGTATCTTAACAAGCCATTTGATATTCCTTTAATGAGAACTATACCTTTATGCAGAGAGCTTGATCTTCACAGAGCTGAATCACAAATGCATAGTCCTCCATTACCTGGGAAGCCAACATTAGGACTTAAATTTCTCTTCTTTTGTGTCTTGGACCCTGACTGTGGTTTTAAATTTAAAATGACATACAAAATTCTGTACATACAAACTCATCTCTTTTTTTGAGACTGAATAACCATATCATAATTTATAGACAAAATGTGAATTATTTGGGGGAGATTAGGAAAGGACTAGGTACTTCTATATAGAAGAGTGCAGACTATAGAATGTATCCTTTAAAAAATGTTAAAGGGAAGGTAATCTTCCCTTTGGTGTCCCCTTCTCAGCCCCATTGTATTCCCTGAGCTGGCCCTACTATAATTCAATCATTTTAGGAAAATATTAAATTGACTGACCAAGGATCAAATTTCTCCTTTTTTGGTAGAAGTAACATCTGAAGAAGTTATTATCTTTACCTTGACCAGCTCCATCTCTTGTTCTGCACAGGATGATTCCAGATGTTGTAATCTAACCTGTAGAAAGGAAAATAGGTAACTCAGTAAGGTAAAAATCATGCAGAATTCCATTCTGGACTATCTCAAAGGTCATCTCATAGACTGTTCAAGTGAATCAGGAACACCATGACAGATGTCTTTATGTATCCTGGTGCCACGCTGTGGGATAATGCGCTGGACTGCAAAGTCGGTTTGAACTACAGGGTTGGTGGCTCAAGCTCACCCAGCCGCTCCTTGGAAACCTCATACAGGGTTCCTATGGGTCAGAACTGATTTGATGGCATTTAACAACAATAAATCCCCACTCCTGGTATGGCTTTGTAGGATAAACTCTGGGCTGCTAGCTAGCAGTTCAGATCTACCAACCAGTCCTTGAAAACCTGACACAGGGTTGCTATGAGTAGGAACAATAACAACTTCTGCTCCTAAATGCTTCTTTAGGTAATGACATCAGGTTTGGAAAACTTCACTCTTCCTTTTACTTGTGTATGTTCTGTTAGAATCCAAGGTTTTGCTCCTTCCCGCTTCCTTCTGTCCCTCTCTTCATTAGGTATTTTTTGAAAGCCTGTCCTATGTCACTGTGCTGGAAGTTGGGAATACAGTGGTGAATGGGACTGACATGCTCTGTCTTCATAGAGCTGAGCCTATGTTCTAGTTGGAGGTACATAAGAAATTCATCATCATAGTAATCACAGGGATACAGGCTATGAAGGAAATAGAATCAGGGAATTGTGATGGAGAGTGGGTGATGGTGGTAGTTGTGTGAGGGCTAATGTAGTTGATTGTGGAAGGATTCTCTGAAAAGATATTTGAGTCGAAATCTATAAGATAAATATTATCACAGTGAAGATCTGGGAGTGTGGCGACTGTCAGATAAACACTGGACTGTGAGCCACAAGGTTGGCAATTCGAACACCACAGGAAAAAGATGAGGCTTTCTGCTCCCACGAAGATTTATAGTCTTGAATACTCTGTACAGGGTTGCTATGAGTCAGAACCATAACAGCAGCAACAGCAACAGGGAAGATCTGGAGGAAATTTGTTCCAGGCCCAGATTAGAACAAGGGCTACAACATGGGAAATAACAGAGATTTGGTGTATAAGAAGAAACTGTATGGCTAGGTCCCAGGGAAAGCTGACAGGCAGGAGATGAGGTAGGAACAGGTGAGTATGTCAGATTATGTAGGGCCTTTTACCCTCTAGAGTACCTGGGTCATGCAGTGGTTAAGTGCTTGGTTGCTAACCAAAAGGTCAATATTTCAAACCCATCAGCCTGTTCAGAGGTAGAAAGATGTGGCCGTCTGTTTCTGTAAAGATTATAGCCTAGGCTGTTCTAGTCTGTTTTATAGGATTGGAAAAACTTGACAGAAATGGGCTTATATCCTTTAGTAAAGAGTTTTTTTCTTCTTCTCTTAATTCTAATTACAGTGGGAACTTGGAGGGTCTGAGTAGACACAATCTGACTTGTGTTGTTACATGTCTTCTCTCTGTGTGGATAATGGATTGTTGGGGTGGAAGAGTTGAGGTGGTAGACTACTTAGGAGGTTACCATGGTGGTTTGGAAAAGACAGTAGTAATGAAGTAATAGATCGGAATGAATGCACTAAGGATGTACTTGAAAGTAGAGATGATATGACTGCATCTTTGCTTCCCTTTCCAGTTCTTTTGTTCCCACTTTCATCTACTTTCCATTATTTCATATCTAGAACTCCTAACAGTTTCTTTCCCCTACAATTAGTTGCCCTTAGGGCTGGCCAGCCAAATGTCCTAAGGGCTATAGGTAAGCCAATGATCTGAGGTACAAGATGTTGTAGTAAACATCCCATTAAGCTGCTGATCTGATCACCAGCATGTCAGATGAACAGAAGCAAGAGTGATGATGATCTAATTTCTAGAATTAGAAATCTCACTAAGAATTCCATAAAAACACAGAAGCAACAGGGAGTGGCAAAGGGTTGAAACTTGAGAATTCTTTAGAGCTGGAATGACTGTGACCAGGAGAATGAACAGTCTTTGCCCTGATAAATGCCTGAGAGTCTATGAATCCATCAGCTCAGCTCACCTGACCTAGCCAGTACAAAGATCACCACTAGATTCAGAATGAGCTTACTGTTATTAGAAAAAGTTGTTCTAGACAGAAGAAGAGATCCTGGAAGAAAATTAGTTTTCTGACCGCTGAAATCACATGGCAAGAGTAGGTAGGGTCTACACAATCCTTTTTAACCTTAGCTGCATTTTCTCCCCTGTGTGCACTCAGACTCTGGAGGTTTTTTTCCAGATAACTTTTCTGGATGAACACATTCAGGTAGCCTTACTTGGTGGCTTTAACCTTCCCATTTTTGTGACCAAATTGGCCATCAAAAGATGGGGAACAGTTTTCTATTCTTTCATTTTCTATTTCTATTTCCAGCCTGCCTGTTTCATTAGAGGGTTCATACATACAATAAATGTCAGAGCTAGAATTCAAAGAGAAATTAAACAAGGCAAGGTGGTAGTGATGTGCGTGCAGTCAGTTCCAAGTCAGAGCATCTGTGTTTTGGGTTTCTGAGGCTGTAAATCTTTATGGGAGCAGAAAGCCTCATCTTTTTTCTCTAGAACAGTTGGTAGTTTTGAACTACTGACCTTGAGGTTAGCAGTCCAACTCATAATCACTATGCTACCAGAGCAAGGATGAAGATGTAATTCTACAGAAAGTGCCAGGTCAGAATTTTATCTACTCTCTAAAAAAAATGTGCCTCAATTTTTAACTTGCTGCCTTGATCAGATGAGTTTTTGGCTATAAGTTCTTATGAAATGCTAAGCATTGTATAATGTTATCACTTAGCAGGTGATTGTGGTGGTGGTGGTGGTTAGCTGTTGTTGAAATTTGACTCACAGCTACCCAGTGTGACAGTGTGGGTTCCTAGGCTTTGATCTTTACAGAAGCAGATCTCCAGGGCCATTCTCCCATGGAGCTTCCAGGTGGATTTGAACCGCCAATCTTTTGGTTAGCAGCTGAGCATTTAATCATTGTGCTGCCAGAGTTCCTTCCTTAGCAGTTAGAGATCACAAAGTACTTGAGTGACTCACTGAATAAGATTGTTTCAGGTTTGGAATCAATAACAGGGTGTGTAAATTACTAGCACACTTTAGGCTTAAAATCCTAGTTCTGCTTCTATAAATTCATACGTATACCTCAACCTGACTTTAAGAAATCACTTTCTGTGATTGTGTGACTTTTCAAGATATTAACTATCCAGAAAAGGAGAATATTTCACATACACAATCTCATTTCATCCTCAAACTGGGACTCGGAAAGACTGGTTCAGTTGTCCAAATTTACATACCAAATTAAGTGCTGAAGTCTGGTTTTAACCTGGGGACTTCAGCTGCCTCTGACACTATATATGCATTTGTGCCCTACTCATCCTGGTGTGATGCTGTGGGTTAATGAGTCAGACTGCAAAATCATTGGAACTGCAAGGTGGGTGGTTTAAGCTCACCAGCTGCTCCTTGGAAACCCTATATAGGGTCACATGGGTTGGAATCGACTCGATGGCACTTAACAACAACAACTTCCTGATAGGAGAGAGAACAAAAAAATATGGTTTCAGAGTGAAGTTCCTTACTAAGAACAGAGGACAATTCAGCATTCAAGGACCCAGACTTACCCCATTGTTATCATTGTTGTTAAGTGCCTTTGAGTTGGTTCTGACTCATAGCAACCCTGAGTAGGGTTTCCAATGAGCAGTTGATGAGCTTGAACTGCAGACTCTGCTGTTTAAACCAACCTTTCAGTCCAGAGCATTAACCCACAGTGCCATCCATACCAGAACTCCAGACTTACTCCTGACATGGGTTAAACTACAGAGAATGTCTTTCAACTCTGATAATTGTTGCCAACTTGAAGGCTTACTTCATAGCCCAAACCCACTTAGGACTGCTTTTTATTTACCTTTGACTCCTCCGGGGTTTCGTCTAGATTGCTTTGTTCATTACTGGTTGTCTTATGGATTCTCGTTGTAAACTACAGTTTTAAAAAATAAATACATTTTACATAAAAATACATTAGATGAAAATATAAAAAGATATTCTCTGGCGTGCAGGGGCCAGTATCTAATGGTCTTGATAGGTGCTTCCAAGAGTTAACCCCTTGCTGGCTAGTGGGTAGCCTGCAGAAGTACTAGTCTTGGCCACCAAGCTAATGTCCTTTCAAGGCAGAGGGACTTCCTTGAGCCCCTAATTCATGCTGAGTTATTCAGGGCTCCAGGCTAAGTGTTAATGAGTAGGGTGAATTATGGGGTGCTCACTGCATTCTCAGGAGACACTGAAGTACAGGCAATGCCTAGGCAAGGGAAAGAGGATCCAAGGGAACTAAACAGTATTTATTTTTAAAGCCTCTAATTGAAAATGAAAGTGAGTCTCACCAAAAAGCAAAGGTAAAGTCAATCACTTCAAGTAGAGTATGGGTTGGAATCCATTTTCTGGTGCGAGAATGGAGAACTCATAGGATTATTAAATAGCCATCCACTCATTGTGACCCAGAAAAACCATGTAATTTAGGTAATAAGCCTTAGTCTTAGGAGTGTAGTGTAGGGAGTTGTATAGTACCTACCCCCTGCAAACTCTTAGACATAGGTTTTCCTTTGATCACTTTTCCTTCCTAGCCTCTGACAAATGGGGCTAATATACAAGAATACTGCCTCACCTTCCTTTTAAGTTCTGCTATACTCTGGACCAGTGTTTCATTTTTCTTTTCCTGTGGAGAGAAAGAATCAGAATCTCCGTCACACAGTTGTTGTTGTTTTTATGTGCCGTGGAGTCGGTTCAGACTCATAGTGTCCCTGTACAGAGTTTCCGAGCCTGTAAATCTTTACTGGAGCAGAAAGCCTCATCTTTCTCCCATGGAACAGCTGGTAGTTTCGAACTGCTGACCATGAGATTAGCAGCCTGATTTGTAACCACTACGCTACCAGAGCTCCTTCCCACACACAGTAGTCCTTCTTATTCAATTATTGTTCTCCAGCTCACCCCTGTGATATTTTCCTGGCAGTAATTCAACCTTGCTTGTATTCTATCAGGCGAGGTTACCTATAGTCTGATCTCAGTTTATAAACACCAATTTACAAGGATCAAGAAACCCAGATACTAGGCTTCCCAGTATTAAATATTAGCAAAGAAGCCCTGTCTTCTACACCTTCACTTCTGTGCATGGACATTCTGTCATGACTTTTGAATGGACTCTTCTTTATATTTAGAAAGGGAGAGCTGCTTATCTGACAGTTGATGAGGGACAGGATGAGGAAAGAAATCTATCAAACAGCTCTTCACAGTTTCTCCCTTACGAGTTTGTCTGTTTCTTCCTCCAGCTCCAGCAAGTCTCTTTCTCTTTCGATGGCTGTACAGTTATCTTTCTCCCACTCCTCGTCTTCCGCCAGGTCTCGTGTCTGAGTGAGCTCACTTTCCAGCCTGGATGGTACAAGGACATGAAGATGAGGGCCCTTGATGGGCAGTTTCAGAACTCATAAGACACAGTATCAGTTTTGAGGCTATGTTAGTGACAATAAACATGAATCGCATGCTGGAAATCCTCCTTCTGAAATCCGTAGAATTAATATCACTTAAAGATAGAGGAAAGTAAGAGCTATGCGATTCCCAAGCTAACTTCCCCCAATGTTTGCAACTAATTTAAAAAGCCCCTAGTCTTCTGTGTTTCAGAGTTTGAGCCACACAGAGATGCCAAAGAATAAAAAAGAGGTCTGTTTGCTACACAAGTATATGTCTGTAGAGCAGGCTGGAAATTCAGGTTTTGCCTTTTCTTTTCCACCCCTCCCTTTGGACTGGAAACTTTCCTCAAGAAACCCCAACACTCACCTCTGAATAGCCTCTTCTTTCTCTTGGATTTTGAGAAGAAGATCCTGATTTGCTTCATCAATTCTCTGCATATCCCTTTCAAGGGCCATGTTTAAACTGTTAATATTTTTCTTGGACTGTGCCAATCGTAAGATTTCCATTTTCTCCGACCTATATACTCAGTCCCCAAAATGAACATGGGCCAGTTATCTTAAGATCAAAAATCCTTAGGCCAAAGAGTGTTTCTATAAGTCATGTCATTCATTCACCTGGGTCTTTCTGGGAACATTCTGTTTCTTTTTCATTCTTGAGAAATTATATTTCTTAAAAACATTCTACAATCTGTTTAAGAAATTCTCAACTTTTTCAGCAAGGGAGATCTTTCTTGGCCTACTTCCTGTAAAGTGCTCAAAATTATAGTGCACTTCCACGGAGTATTAGCCTTCTTGGGTTGGAGGCAATGGTTTCCTTTGGCAATCTTTGCTCAGGTAAACTATGTATAAAACTTGTCCATTCAATACAGTCCCCTTCTCCAGTACTTTTATTTAGACATACATCACTTATGGATGGACCTACCTATCTGCAAAGTTGCAAGAGGTTTTACAACTATACAGTAGGCCTTCTATCTTTCCCTCCTCCTCAAAATTCCTCTACTTGCCTAATAGAAAGTTTGAGATTCTTCCATGAGAGCAATTTCATTGAGCATGTACAGGAATGCTCCAGGCATTTATTTTCAAGAATACAAACATCTGTTTTATGAAATAAGTGTGAATGAAATAATGGTAACCCTGGTGTACAAAACCACCAGCTGCTCCTTAGAAAGCCTATGCAGGGTCGCTGTGCATGGGAACCAACTCGATGGCACTTAACAACGAACAACAGAGAGTCTAGAAAGGGTGTCTGGCACTTGGCAGGGTTTTTTTGTTTTTTTAAGTTTTTGTTGTGACTTCAGTGAAAGTTTACAGGGCAGATCATCAGGTTTACATTCAACAAATCACACACCTTGTTTGATTATAATCCCCTCCATGTGCCATCAGTTACAATTTCATTATAATCTCTACCATGTACTATCAGTTAACAGTATTTCTCTCTATTCATTTTAGCTCTTTTTTTTTTTTTTTTTTAAACACTCAGGCATATATAATAATTTAAACCACCAAAGGGCACATTCTACAAGTCTGCCTCCTTGCTACCAGCTCTCAGTCCCTCTCTTCCCATGAATCTAGAGTCCTCAGCTTTTCCCTCTCTCCATGTCCCCATCTCTGCCTCCATCTCTGGTGTTGCTGCTTCTCTGGATAAAGTCTCGCATTCTGCTTGTGCTCTTCTCCCTTGATGGTCCTATGGTCTTTTGTTTCTGGACTGTAAGATTAATTACTCCCCTGTTTTTGATACAAAACTTCTACCTTTGCAATTGTGATAGTCGCAATTAGTCATGATAACAATTACTCACTATTGAATCATAAGAATCTTATCCCCATCTCTTTTTACCAGACCCATCTAGACAAGATGAAAATTATTCAGTGGGGACTCTTTCTTCCCCCACACATTCTTAAACTAAACTCCCTCTTGAAACCTTGTAAGCCAGTCACTTTGTGCCTTTATCATCCCCTGATTTTAGGTAGCCAATGTCCAAGTTGCCCCTCCCTATCTGCCCTATGTACAGAGGGGAAAGCATTGATACTTTATGTGAAGACTCCTTCACTCTCTGTACTTATTTAGAATTATAACTCCACAAGTATAGGTGAAGTTCATCAATTTGTAGCAATTTATCCTTGTTTCCTTTATCAAAAAAAAATTTTTTTTTTTAAATCTTCCTCTACTTAAGTTCTGATTATCAAGCCATCGAGGCTAGGTCAAATGGGAACTATCTGAAAGTTTGGGTATTCTTGTGATTTTACTTTTTCCTGTTTGTTTTTGTTGTGGTTGTTGTTGCTATTTGTGTATGAGTGTGTAAATGCATTCTCTTGTCTTTGAAATCATTAACTGGGAGTAGAGAGACAAAGGGACTTTTGTTGTGGGTAGGAATTAGAGATGTTCCTGGAAAATAAAACACCTTGGAAGGGCTGGCCTGGTTAGGGGATTACAATAGGAGGGTGTAGGGTATTTGAAGTGGAGTACAGTGGGGGATACAAGGGTAAATGTGGAAGTGGAGAAGGAAACTGAAAGATGTGAGAAGGTATCAATACCAGACATCAACTGGATTTGACTTTTCATAATCAGGATTACTTACTCATGATCTAGTTGATTTTTTGTGTGTTCTTCCATTGTAGAGCTCCTAGAATGTCAGCAGAGGTACATCTAATGAATTGGGGAAATAGGTACATTCATGAAGCACAGAATAGCTAGCCAAGAGTCTCAAAAGATAGGAATCAAATCAAATTCCTGGTTCCCTCTCTCCAACCCTAAATTCTGACCATGACAACACCCTGGTCTCTGATTCTTTTGCCCATGCTCTGATTATGTCTCAGTAAGGTACAGTGAAGATACAAGGCAATGCAACACATTTTCTACTTGCAGCTATATTCAGAAAATGTTCACCACATAAAGGCCTTTGGAAATTTATGCAATTGGAGGAAATAGAGGCTCTCAATTGTTCTAAAAGCCTTACTTTGCTCTAGGCCTAGTTGCTTTCTTTAAGGCCCTGTGAGCAGGAATGGAAGTGCACCATGCCTTTGAAAAATAATCTCTCTGCTCTCTAGCCTGGCCTCTTCAAGAATCTCCAGATATTAATTTCTTTAGTATTAAATGATCAAAACCCAAACCAGTTGCTATGAGTCAACTCTGACTCGTGTAATCCCTTATATGTCAGAGCAGAACTGTGCCCCACAGTTTTTAGTGGCAGAGTTGTTGGAAGTAGATCCCTAGGTCTTTCTTCTGAGGCTCTTCTAGGTGGACTCCGACCTCCTAAACTTTTGGTTAGCAAATGAGCATGTTAACTACTTCTACACCCGGGGACTCCTTGGTATTAAATCATGGTTGCTGTTTTGTGCCCTTGAGTAAGTTCTGACTCATAATGGTCCTATACAGGGTTTCCGAAGAGTGGCTGGTGGGTTTGAACCACCCACTGTGAGGCACGCAGTCTAGTTCGTATCTTACAGCAGCACACCAGAACTGCTAGTTATTAAACAGGGCTCAGAAAAACCAAGGAGAAGTAGATTTGGGTCTCTCTGCCTTTTAGTTTCCTCTTTTTTCTCTATTTCTTTGAGAAAAACTCTACCTCCCTTCTGGTATCTGTGGTCTTCCTGATCCTGGCCTGGTCAATTAATTTCTGCAGAGTCAAATCCTTTCCCAGAGGAGCCATCCAATAGAATTTCAGAACCTTCTAGGCATCATGACTTTGTTGTTCACATAGGATGGGTGGGGCAATATGTCACAGTGGGATGGGTGGCAACAGTTGTTCATCATTTGTGCAGAGTCAGAGCCTAAGTGGGTGTGTGGGTTTTATGGTCAAGTGTCTTTTGACTGCAGTAAGTTCCATGGACCAGGATTCTTGATAGTATGTGGATTGTTGTTATTGGGGGTCCTTGTATTTTAGTTGTGTTCCCTTGCTATCCAAGCATGACTAATATGGGGGCTTGGGTTCTGTGACCAGCAGTCTGATCCCATCACATAGCCAACTATCTACTCATACATCATTCATGTGCCAGGCACTCTTCTAAGCACTAAGGAGATAGAGTGAACAGAACAGCCAGAAAGAGTTGACCCGTGGCATTTACATTCTTGTGAGGTATGGATAACAAAATTAAAAAATAATAAACTATTATTATTTGAGCATGCTATGAAAAAAATAAAAAAGAAGGATATGATGCAGTTGTGTGTATGTATGTGTGTGAGGGGGAGATTGTTGCAATTTTAAATAGAGTGGTACAGAGGAATCCACAGGGCATCCCCAGACCCCAAAGACCCTAAAGTAGAGATGTACATATGTCAAGAGGCCCAAAGAACAAAAAAAGACATTTTGAAGAGTCAAAGTCTATGGCGCTCACAACCAGAGGCAATAGCTAGGTGCGTGGTCAGCAGCAGCTTGAAGGACCAGACAGGAATTGCCACATGTCACAAACACCTTCAGATGGGCCCGGCTGCACATCAGTGTGGGAAGGCCTCATGCTCCACCTGCAGTGCCACAAGGATATCTAGCTTTTTCATGCACTTGCCATTCTGGGAAAGAAGACAGCTCTTCAGAGGGAGGAAACCCTTGAAAGACTGAGAAATGGCCTGAAAGAGACTTTTAAATGGGAAAAGGCCACAATATCTTGAATTGGCTTTGTCTGCCAACTTTAGGAACAGGAGCTAGATGGGAAGATAAGTTCAGCTACAGAATCGAAAAGAATATATTTTTGCCTTCTTGAGTATGTAAATTTGTACCAGATTCTGTATGTACATTTTGTAACTTTTTGTGTGTGCAAGTTGTGGTAACCTGTGAAGTTCGGGATCTCTACTAATAAGAACCACGTTGAGCTGATTTGTGGGCCAGAGTGACTTCGTAACATACTGTAGTTTCTAACAAACTATTTGTAAAATTAATGGTCTTTGATGACCCCCATTACCATCTCCTTTCTTCCTGAAAGAAGGCATTTCATTGCTTTATGAAGCTGTACACAGAAGAGTAATTAAGTAACAATTCAGGCCAATGGCCTCTCCCAGGAATTAATGGTAGGGAGAGTTCATTAACCCCAGCTGGTTATAGCTTCTCCAGGAAATGCCCTGGACCAAGGTTATCTTAGCTATTAATGGATTGGATAGGGACTTAAACTGGGATAAAAATAAAGCTTTGTCTCCTTCCTGGGGAGCTTTTCTCCTTGAGGGGCTACCAAAGGCAAGCTGGTAGGAGAACAGAACCACAAGCTTGGGGCCTTCAGTGGGATGAGGACAACAGATTGCTAACAGTGGGGAAATCTAAATCAAGGTAAAAACAGGGCCTTGGGGGCAAATTAAGGCCCTTGATATAAGCCTTTCTGCTCTTCTGAAGATGGCTTGATTAACACCCAGCGCTGCTTTCCAGCAGCTGTTTCCCCCTGTTAACTTTTCTATCCCCTGCCCTATGCACAAGAGTCTTTTCACATTTTGTTCTGTTGCTTCAAGGAATGCAGCTGCTTGTGCGAAGGTGGTTGTGAAGACACTTGCTTTTTGTGGTGGCTATTTACCTGCTCAAACACCTGCTCAGTGTATTTGCTGGACATTTACCACTTTCTTGGATGGTGACTGGCTCATCTCTTGAGTCCTGAGTGAGAGCTGACAGGTGCTCTGGTCCTTCCAGTGGCCTCAAGAGATGGAGACCTAGTTCTTCTACTCACCTCTTTTGTCCTCTCTTCACTTTAGCCAGTTCCTCTGGGTAGTTTATAAATAAGTCTGACTTCAAGGATCATGTCCAAGCTAGATTCTAGAAGCTCATTTTTAATAATGGTTCTTCAGATACAGATTCAACTATGCTATTTTCCTTACCAATTTTTAGTGTATACATTCTAGGCTCCTTTGAATTTTCTTTTCAGATTGTGTTTCTTCTTCACACATCTATATTTTTCTCAAAAGCAAAAACTAGGATAAAACTGAAATATGAAGGGAAAAAAGAGAGAACATACTTATTCATTAATATTGTTATTTGACCCAAGTATTTAAACAATTTAATCAAACATCAAGTAAAAAAATTGATTTTAATATAATTTAGTATTCAAGAAATGCAAGTACTTTGAACTGGAGTCCTGGTGTGGCTCTGTAGGATAAGCAGTGAACCGCAAGGTTGGTTTGAACCACAAGGTCAGCAGTTCAAACTCACCAGCTGCTCTTTGAAAACCCTATACAGGGTTGCTATGAGTCAGAACTGACTCAACAGCACTTAACAACAACAATGACAGTACTTTGAACTGGTACAAATTTGATGTATTTTCCTTAAAACTAAATGTTTTAAATTTTATTGCATCATTGCTATTATAACATTAAATAATTTTAAAAAATGAAAGTTCAAGAATATCAGCTCATAGCAAAAATCTTTATATTTTAATATGTTTTCTTTCTTTTTTTAAGGTTTTGTTGTGAATTAAGTGATAGTTTACATGGGACAACATTAGTTTTACATTCATCCTATTGTATTTCATTTCATTGCAATGATTACAATCCCCTCAATGCATCATCAAACAACCAAAGGGTACACCCCACAAGCCTGCCCTCCTGCCCCCGGCCGTCAGCACACAGCCCCTCTCCCTCCCTGAGTCCAGAGTCCCCAGCCACTCTATCTCTCCATGTCATCGTCTCTGCTTCCATCTCTGGTGTCACCGCTTCTCTGAATCGGGGTCCCACACTCTGCTCTTCTCCCTTGATGGTCCCAGGGACTTCTGCTCCTGGACTGCAAAATCAACCACTCCCCTCTTTTGTTATAAAACGTATACCTTTACATTTCCAACACTCACAGTCAGTCCTGATAGCATTTATTTATTCACTATTGTACAACAAAACTCTTATCCCCATCTCCTTTCACCAGCCCCATCCAGACAGGTTGGAAACCACTCAGTGGAGATTCTACCTTCCCCCATACCCTCTGAAACTAGGCTCCCTCTTGAAAGCTTATAAGCCAGTCACCCTCCCATTTTGGGTAGCCAATGTCTAAGTTGCCCATCCCTGTCAACCCTGTGTACCGAGGGGGTGGGAATGATCCTCACTGTAAAGATTTGTTCCCTCTTTTGAGCTACTCATCCATAAGTATATGTCAAGTTCATCAAATTATAGTGGATTACTCGTATTTTTTTCTCTCCTTTCTCCTTCTAGTTGAGTTCTGGATCATCCAGCCATTGAAGCCAGGTCAAGTGGGTACTATCTGCCAGTATGGCTGTTCTTGTGCATCTCCCCTCATTTCATATCAGCTGGATGCTTCACTCTCTGCTCTAGTCCTCTGTAGCCATGTCCCTGTCTCTGGGCTCATGTCCCTGTCTCTTGTGCATCTCCCCTCATTTCATATCAGCTGGATGCTTTGCTCTTTGCTCTAGTCCTCTGTGACCATGTCACTGTCTATGGGCCCAGGAGTCTCTACGTCTTGCCATACTGCTGGCCAACCAGGTCTCATCCCGGGTTGACAGGTATCTATTAAACATGGTCGGACTTAGCTCACAACATCATTGCTGTTTTTTCCCCCACTACCCCCTATCGGTGGCCAATGTGGTCGGCAGCAAGACCACATGCCTGCTCGTGTATTACCCTTGAACCTCAGTCTTGGAAGTGGATTTGCCCTGAGGGGACCCAACTGCTTGCCTTGATGGCTCCCAGAACAACTTGCT